AGACTGCGTCAATCTGAATGTTGTATAAAAGCCAAACGGCTGGATTACAACACGAATTAACCGTCGCCTTCTGGTGAGGTCAACCTTCGAATCTCATCATCATGCACTTTCATTATAAATTAAAGTCTTCAAAGCAATTTGCCAATCAATTCGATGTCTCTACTTGAATGCCGCAAGTAGTTCTTGATAGAGTTTATACGCGAAGAAATGGGCGGTTGAGTTCTGAGCATCACCAGTTTCGTGCTTCATGCCTTCAATGCTCAGTTTATCATAGGCAGCCATACGTGTAAGCCATAATCAACAAAGCTACCTTGTGGTACCGTTGTACCCTGCTTTACGCATGCACATACACAACCACTCACAGATAAGTATTAAAACCAAATAATCTTTTATCTACCTACCTACACCTGCATAGTGCCTGGTATGATTTAGTTGCTCTTACAAGCGTATACAGCTTGCTGAGTAGAGTCCTACTGACTTAATGCTTTTGGCAAAACAAGATTCAACTTTGAGTCAAGACATGAAGTGAATAAAAATCGCTTGGTGACTGAGCCAACCAAATCATATTTTATTATAATCAGACAACTAAAAATAACGGGAATCAGCGTCCTTTATTCTGGTTAGAATGACCTAATACCATCTTCCTTAGGCACTTTCACACGAAATGCACTTCACCTAACCAGGATTGTATGAGATTCGGCGAAATCCAGCTACATTTTGCTATATTCCAGTCGGCCCCAAAGGCTTCTGCGGAGTGGTGGCATTTTCAGTGCAGATGAGCTTGCTCCTGCTTGGTGCTTGATTGATAGGCCAGCTCTTTGCATGCAACAATGAAAGAAAGCCTTAACCTTCCGATCTGTTTCAACCCATCTAGGCAGAATACGACTCTTTCTTCACGTCATGGTTGCTGGATCAACAGTCTGTGTTGACGAAAGCGGAAGGCCGCTGGTGTAACTGGGCGGCTTGACGGTTGACACATTATTATGGACAACTGGTGCTGGTTCAAGTAATGCGAACACGAAAGAGACTGCTTCACCGTGCTTGGGGTGCTCTATCCTGTCTTCTGCTTTCCGATAGGTTGATATGCCAGAGTGACGGACAAGGTACAGTTCACTCCGACAAATCGATGCGCAGAAACTGGGCGATAACGTATCTTTTGACGGTGCTTTGTAGTTGAATTTAGCCAATGGCGGATGCCTCAGGTCCCTCGATGTCGACTTTGATGCCTGTATCTCTTTTGCATAGCAGCAAAAGAACAAGCTGCCGCGATGCGCTGGGCTGTAAGGCAGTAAAAAGTTTCCCCATTCGATGTTCTTAAAAAAAGAAATCACCAACAGATCGCCGACAATTCCCCTTGACGATTTGCCTTTGCCAAGCTACGATAACTTAGTTATGTCAGGTATAATTAGTTTTTGGGTTTTATTAATTCTCTAATAGGAAGCGAATCTTCCTAGGTCACTCAATGTAATTTAAGGACTCAAAGATGAGTGTGTTCAGATGAGTATGAGATGAGACTGGTTTAATCTATTGTTAGGGGGACCTTCATTTCAAATGAAAGTACATGATGAAGAGATTCGTTTGTCGATTTCACCAACGATTTTCATCCGTCTTCATCTGGTGAAATCGACAAACGAATCTCTTCATCATGTACTTTCATTCGAAATGAAGGTCCCCCTAACAATGCTATCTCAGGAGAGTCATCGCAACCAAGTTTCTCTTCGTATCTACTATGATTTAACCTAGTTTTACCCGCCAAAAGGCTATATCTTCAAGGCTGGGCTGGAGTGGCCTGCAGTTTCGACCTCGGTATACGATGCTGGGTCATCTAAATTTGGATGAAACCATCATGGAGACTATTCGTATCATTGTGGAAAATCTCAACTATCAGTCCATAAAGCACTTTAAGCGACCTAGTGACTAAGTTCTTGTGCAATAATTACTGACAGTCTCAGAACTTACTTATATAGAAAATAAGTAATGTCGTCCATTGTGATGGAAAAAACACGCCCGTCTAATCGATAATGTCACATTTGCCCTGTGATCCTCAAACACCCAATACTCACGCCCCAGTGTCGACTCTCTTTAGAGTGCTTTCGAGAGACGGTGAGGCGGGGTCAAAACTGCAGTCCACTTCAGCGTTACTTTGAGGAGGCAGGACCAAGTGAAATTCATATAAAAAGCTAGATGCTAGTGGTGGATAGGAGGAGGTATGATTGACAACAAGATTGATGGTCAGATGATTGGAGGAGTATTTCGCCATATTCCCTACTTAATGTTAACTATTAATAACAATTTATTATTAGTAGTAGTATCATTATTACTGTGTTATGAGCTTTAGATAATTATTGTTAAAAGGTAATTTGTTATTATTATTATCAGCGTAATATAGACAACATTGTTTCTTGCGCCCATCTGCTCAGC